GCTAATGCAGCCTTTCTGTTGGAAAGTGGTCTGAGGGGGACGGGGCTGGGCGGGCCCAGTGGGCATTTGCAGGGCTCCTTCTTGGAGAGCCGGTCGGACAAAGTCCCAATTGTTTCATCCTCAAAAGAGAAGGCTGGGATAGGATGTGTGCCACTTTTAGCCTAATAGGAAATGAAGTAATTCTTGGGTCATGCTTTAGCAGTTTTGTTTATCTGTAGCAATATTTTGTTTCCATGGGAATGGGTGCTTCATAGAGTGATAAGGAGCCTGTGGAAAAGCTCTCTCAACCTCAGAGCACACACCTCCTGACCTGCAGGCTCAGGTTTGGATGGGACGCTTTGAAGAGACCCATCAGCAGTTTATTTTTTGTTTCTCACCAACGTGCCCCTTGTTGTGTTTCTGCTTATTCTGCGTTTTTCCCCCTCCCCTTAATTTTTTCCGATCTGCAGCGCAGAGGCAGCATTCAGCTCAGAAGCATTGCTGGGCTGTGCTGCGGAAGCTCTTTGTAGAGTATTAGGGATCTGTTTTCCTCCAGTGAGATGAACAGAAGCATTTAATAGCTAATACTAGTAATAACTAAAAGTTCTAGATGCGTGTGTTATGCCAGGTGCTTTGTGTACTAGCATCTCTAATCTTTCTAACAGTCTGGACCGCTGCTGGGGGTGGTGCACTTTCGTGCACAAGCCAGTGGGCTTCGTGGTTGTGTGACTTTTCCAGGAAGATCCAGACAGTCCTGCAGCAGAGGGTGAGATTCAGACCTAGTGTTCTCTGAGTCTCCAGCTGCCTGCCAGCATGCTGTGGGACCCTCCACATCTGCTCCATTCAATTAGGAACACGTCTCTCTCACCCCGTAATTTACTTTCTATTTGTTTTGAATCAACTGGACCTGATTATGGGATAAATTCAGAAGGCAATTTAAAAATTGGAATTAAAGTTCAGGTATGTTTCTTTGACAGTTTATCTCTCATTTTCCCCCTCTCTAAATTTCCTGGGCATACCTCCTTCAGAAGAAGCTCAGCCAGTTTTTTCAGAACTTCCCTTTTTAAAAAAGACTTGTGATTTGTATTTTCCTTTGTTACCATAAAATTGAGTGGGAAGGAAAACACCATGGAATTGGCTGAAAACCTTGCTGCTTATCTCTCCATTGCAGCTTCTGTTTTCACATAAAAAGAAGTTAAATGGTGGTGATTGTATTGAATTGGACATAGTTCCCCATCTCATGTCTTCGCAGTGTGGATGTCAACACCGCTAATACCTTGCACTTTGTCTGCCCAAAGGCAGTCATAAGGCTGACGGCCCCTGCAAGTAGCCGAGTCTTTAGAGCTGATTTATGGTAGCAAGAGGCCTTAGGTGTGCACATGCAGTGATTTTAGTTCTAGTGCTGAGTCCATTCTATGTAACCTTGTTTCTAAAAGGTTGATTTTTTTCTCCTCTAGATGCTATATCTGAAAGGTTGTAAGGATTCAAAGATAATCCTAATCATTTGAGGCTAATAGAAAACATTACCGTGAGAGAGGAAATCAAACTTTTGTGGTTGATTTCCAGACTTCAGGGTGAGGTATTTTGTTCTTGATCAGTAGTAGCTCTTCCAATTGACTCTAAGTTTAATGAAAACTAATCCAAGAAACCCTCAGCTCTCCACTCCTTTTAATCCTCAGTTTTTCTTTTGAAAAAGAAGCCTATAATCATATCAAACAGATTCCAGATTTGTGTCCTAGTTCACTCAGGATGATTCATAGTTTCTCCTTTAGATTGTGAGTTCATGTCTGAAGGGGAAATACTGGGCTGACCATTGGATAGCTTCTCCTGCATACCTATTTCTTGGCTTTTCCTGACATTCCGCATCTTCTAATACACAGTTTTGTTTTCACTTTGCCCAAAACAGAGCTGTCGATGGTTCACCCATTCACCCACCCACTTTCTAACAAGTAGTTCTGCTAAAGCAGCAGAAAGAGATATGTGTGCCTGTGTTGCTAAACACTTGGGCTTGCACATGCATATAATAACCCTCATCATCTTCAGTTTCTCTCCCCCTTGTTTGTCCCCACCCTGTGCTAGCCAAGTAAAGAGTCGTTTCAGTGATTCCAGATAGATTTCTGTGCAGATACCTTGCTTCTGTACTTTTCAGTTTATAATCAGGTTGTATTGCTTCACCGTGGCTTTTTGCTGTGTGTGTGTGTGTGTGTGTGTGTCTGTCTGTCTGTCTGTCTGATGATGTGGAAGAACTGGGATATGGTGTGGACCATGTGTGTATCCAGAAGGTGATGGAGAGTGCAGTGAATGCTATTCACTTGTAGCGACACTGCGGCTCCCTTTCAGGTTTGAGGTCTCAGGTTTCTCACCTTTGCACGAGCTTGGGGAAGCAGACTAGTAAGAAAGAATCTGGACCATTTAGATAGGCAGGGGCAGCAGACAGTATCACTTTAGGTTAGTGTGGTATCTCTTGTAAGGCACTCAAGTTTAAGTTTTGAAAACAGTTCAATTTGGATCCCAGATTACACACATTATTACTATTGAATTGAGAAACCCGTGGTTTGTGCTTTTATTGACATTTACTTACATCTCCCTCAAAAGACTGGCAGGAATTTCTAAATTAGTTTAATCCTGAATAAATGGGAAAATGCTGTTCTTATTGCTTAGATTCATAAGTGACAACAACATTTTTACCTTACATTAAGTCTTCTGACTGAAGTATATATTGCTACGACTATCTACCTGTCTATCCTCCTATCTACCTACCTGCTTACTCACCTACCTACTATTTATCTAGCTAACTACTGATGTGATTTAACTGAAAATCACATGAGGCTCTTATGCATGTTGTTTTGGGAAAGAGAGTTAAAGAATTTGGAGGACTCTTCTGAGTTACAGCTCTTCCCTTAAGGAGACTATGAGACGATCCGGAGTTAAAAGTGGAGGAGAGGTCACCATGCTCCTCAGGCCACATAGCTAATAAGGAAGAAAACAGATTCAAACTCAGGTCTTTCCTACCACTAAGCATCTGGACATAACCAAGTTAATACCTTCCTGAAACTGTGTTGTGGGAATTATTTTATCCCTTGGGCTTACCTTCTGCTTGCATTTTTTTCCTTTTGGAAACTTTCCTATTCCTGGAATTTCTTCTTAACTTCTTCTCCTTTCTCATCTTCTGCCTGGTGAAACGTACCGGCATCAACAGCAGGATGGGCCGTGGAGCCTGTGGAGGCTGCTCAATCTGCTCGGGATGAAGAAGCTGAGGCCCAGGGCGGCTGAGGCCCAGGGCGGCGGAGGTGACCTGAGGTCACATAGCTCATGAGCCTTTTAGCCAGGATGGAATATCGTGTTTTTTATTCTTATCCTCTTCATTCATCCATGCTCCCCATATTTCCTTTTGAGCTCTTCTTCTACCGTAAATACTGGGTGCAGAGGGGGACTCTGGAGCAAGGAAATGGGCACAAATTGTACTTCCGCCTTTTAAGAGATTTATAACATTGGGTAGATTACTTAATATTTTTGTGCCTTGGTTTCCTTATCTAGCAAATGGGAAGATAATAGTGTCTTATAAGCAATGTGGCACAAAACTCTTCTGTCATCATATAACAGACCCTGTCCTTTGGCATCAAGACTTAAATAATGGACCCTGCTTCTTAACCGGGGAAGGGTTGTTAATGAGGAGTAAATGAACGGTTATTTGGAAAGCTCTGAGAATAGTGCTGGGCCCAGAGCAAGTACCGTGTGTTTGTTAGATCAGGTAAGACGGAGACTGCGCATCTTCATTCTGAGGGTCGCAATGACGTGCCCCTGGGAGCAGGAGGGCCTTTGTGACATCTTCCCACTTCTGTCCACAGGGGAGACGCACTGCTCCTCTCCCACCAGCAGCGCTGTTTGTGTTTCTTATAGACCCTGTTCCCCTTTCACGTACTCCGAAGTTTCTGCAGCTTGTTTGATGCCCCTTATGGACTGTCAGCCTCTGAGGGCTGAACCTCTTCCTGTCTCCATCTTTACCTTCCAGTCAGTTCCCCAAGCTTGGCGGGTGTCTGGCTGTTATAGAACCATTGAAAAGAAACACTTCCTTTCTGCCAGAAACATACCCAAGCCCAAAACGACCTGGATCAGTTGCCTTGTTTCTGTGGACATGGTTGTCTTAGGTAATTGGCTGGCTGCCTTTCAAGGAAGATTAAGAGTTTTTTCTAATTTTACTGCATATATTATGTAAATTCATACTCTATAATGGAGCTCTTTGGGGTGGCGTGCAGGTCGCTGCCTCCTGCTGCCGTTCACGAGGTCTCTGCCCACCTGTACTGTGGACGCCACCATCGTTGGCATGCCTCAGCTGGGCTTCTGGCCACAGCATTGTGTCGTTCCTCTGTGAACCAGGGATTCCGCTGATGCCTTAGTACCTTGTGGGAAAGAAGCTGTACCTGAGAGCAGAACTTGTTTTCCTGGCCGTGGCTTACTAGTAATAGTTGAATGAAATCAAGTAGTTTTTCTACTTTTCAAGGTGCTTTATTTGATCGATTGTATTGTGATTATAAAGCAAGTGCTGAGGATCCTGTAAAATTCCTCTTGTGTAGCCCGTATGAGCAACCTTTAACCCTGATGTGTTTTCTGATCTAAAATTCAGTTAGTGGGTGTTAGACTTCCTACTGTGCACAAACCTTATAAGATCCTTGAGCTTTCATTCTTTTAATTTGCTCAAATTGAGCAACCGTAGTTCAGTACACATTGCGATATTCAGAGACTAGTCAATGACAAACACTATGCTATATATGCATGGCTATGGCTGAGACATAAAGTTGTCTGCTCTTTGGTGAGGGAACTACTTTGTATTTGCAAACCATGGAGCTGTAAATGGAGTTTGAAGCAGTTTGGAAGGTTGCTGTCAGAGCTAAGAGAAAGGAGGGGCTTCTTTTAGGAAGGGAAACTTGGGTGGCCTGCAGGAAGAGCAGACAGGACCCACACGTGGCCCTTTTGCTCAGAGGACTCTAATCTGTCTTCTTTGCCCCACGTGTCTCCTCTAGGTCACGACTGCTGTGAGACCGTGAAGGTACAGCTGTGTGCTTCCAGAGAGGGCCTTCCCGTGTCCGTGGTGGCCGAAGAAGATTTTGAGTTCGTCCAGGATGAGGCTTATGATGCAGCCCAGTTCCTGGCAACCAGTGCTGGGAATCAGCAGGCGCTGAACTTCACCCGCTTCCTTGATCGGTCAGGACCCCCATCTACAGATGTGAATTCCCTTGACGAGAAGGTGGCCCTGGCATTCCGGCACCTGAAGCTGCCAGCAGAGTGGAATGTCCTGGGGACAGACCACACTTTGCATGGTAAGAACTTAAAAGACCCACAAACCCATATGTTGAGTTTGGAGTACTTAAGTTTTTTATGGGGCAGCTTTTTCTATAGTCATTGCCATCAAGTCTTCCCCAGTGGCTAAATAAATGTCTCAATGAGTGTAACCAAGTGGCCTTGATGGCGTTTCTCCTGGGTTCTGCAGCCGAGCTGCCAAACCTGCTCCTGCAGGGCAGTGACCCAAGAGGAAGCTGCTGGAAGCTGGCCCCTCTCACTCACTGCAGGGAGCGGCAGGGCGCCTTTCTGTGAGTCCGGTTTCAGGCTGATCTCTCAAGTGTGGAAAGTGACCCATCCTTCATGAGGAGAGCAGGAAGATACCTCTTCATACCTTTTTTGGTATTAATTGATCAAAGACAGGTATTCTGAAGTTCTCCACAGAGTCCGTGGAGCTGGAGGAAAGGAACATGGGGAGTGAGTGGGGGGAGCAGGAGGGCAGGCTGAGCTCTGAGACACTTGGCACTTTTGTTTTTCTTTTTTTATTGTTTTTCTGTGTGTATGTGGGGGGGTTGTTTGTTTCTTTGTTATTATTATTATTATTTTTAACTGACACTTTTCAAAGCAGGTTATTTTCACTCTTGCTTATTTACTGGCTCTCCATGAGAGGGCACTGAAGGAAGGCCTCCACTTTTTGAAAACACCGATGTAATAGGATCTATTTATGTCCCTCTGAGTCAGATAGGGGTTTTCCCACATAATTTTTCTTGTGGCAGATGACATCTACTAAATGTCATGGTTTTTTATATACATACATACACATATTTAAATGAAACAGTTTATACCTGGAGTCCATAAATAACATCCTCTTTCCCTCCTGAGTTCAAATGCAGTTGAAAGATTTAGGAGTTAGAGATGAACATGTTTTTCTGTTACTGATGAAAGCTACATTGGAAGACTGACATTAGGCCTCCTACATGAAATTTGCTGTCTTTTCTAAAGAGCTGGACGGTCATAGGACTTCCCTTCCATCACCACCCAGCTCTGCTCACTGTGCATTTAGCGAGAGCAGACCAGAAGGCACTGTCTCTGCGGGTAGCAGGTCCCGAGCAGAAGTGGCCAGAAGGCATGCTCTGTGCCTGCTCCACAGACCCATCCAGTGAACATGATCTTCCTCCCATGGGCGATCAGTGAAGCGGTGTTTGCCACCTTTGCTTCTCTTATATCCACTGAATTTAACAGTACCAAAGCAGTCTCCTGCCCGAGTGACTACAAAAGAAAGTACAGACTCGAAAGTCAGGGAAGAAAGCATTTGTCCTTTTCTGTTTTCTTGCTATTACAGTGGCCAGAACCCCTGTGCACTGCCAAGACCTAGAGATCGCAGTGTTGCCACTGTATTGGGCATGAGCACCTTTCCAGAAACCTAAGGATGGAGCTCACTACCTCTGCCCTACTGTTTCTGTATTCGTGCAGGAATGGTTGTTCTGATTGCCATTTGTGATGTGGTCAAAATGGATTGCATTGGTTGTTTGTAGAGCTTTTATGGGTTTTGTTTTTGTTTTTGTTTTTGTTTGTTTAAAGAAGGCACAGGAGTTGGATAGTTCATGTTGCCATGATTAACAAGAAACGCAATTTATGGCTGAACAACACTGCTTTGAACTGCGTAGATCCACTTACATATCTTAGGTCCACGGCTGGGAGTCCACATACGCAGAAGGCTGGTTGTGCGGGCGGTTGGTGCCCCCCTCCCCCTGTTGTTCATAGGTCAGCTGTGTTAGAAAAAGCACAGGTCTGGAACTTTCAGCACATCACTTCCCCTCTCTGGCCTTAGCTTCCTTGTGTTTAATAGGGAACTGGCCAGCTTGAATATTTTTGTGGACTTTCCATGTGCCTCTTGAGTTTCTGTTGTATAAAATTGCCCAAGCAGTGCTAGCACAGGCCAAATCAAATTTGGACACTTAAGGAAATGCATTAAAACCACAGTAAGGTACCATTATACACCTATGAGGAAAGCGAAGGTTAAAAGTACCAAGTGCTGGCAAGGAGGCAGACCATCTCACATATTGCCGTGGGGGCTGCAGAACGACTCTGCCACTTTTAGAAGGCAGTCTGGCAGTTTCTTATCAAGTTAAATGTACGTTTACTATGTGACCCAGGAATCCTACTTTTGGATACTAATCCTAGGTTCTTATATTAACTCAAAAAAATCTTTTCACTTATGTGCCTATGGCAGCATTACTTATAGTCACCAAAACCTGGAACTAAGCCAGATTTCTCTCACTGGGTGGATGTATAAACAAGCTGTGGTTCATCAACACAGTTGAGTATTAGCCAGCATTAAAAATTATTGACGTGTGCAATGGTTATCTATTTCTAAAAACTTGGATGCATTTGAAATGCGTTATGCTAAGTCAAAGAAGTCAGTTTCCAGAGGGTATTTAGTATATGACTTCACTTATGAGATAGTCTGGCAAAGGCAAACTTACAGGCACAGAAACTAGATCAGTAGCTGCCAAGTCTGGGAGTGGAGGAAGGGCTGACAGGAGAGGGGTATCATGGGGGAATTCTCTGGGTGTTGGCATGGTTTTGCATTTTGATGGTGGTGGTTGTAAGAACATATGGATGTGTTCCAAATCATAGGATTGTGCACCCCACAAAAGTCAATTTTGTACATAAATTAAAAATGAGATGAAAAGAACAAAAGAAAAATTAACAAGTTAGACGTATACTTTGTAAGGTGAAATGCATGGGATGCTTTTGATTATACTTGCCTTTGAGTCAACCACTGGGACGAGGAATCTGATTTCAAGGGCTAGCCTCACATTCTACAGTTTGAACTGTGTTTGTGGGTTAGAATCTATAAACACTGAGTATTTTAAGGGCAGAGAAGCTTCAGGTAAGAGGAGCCTGCTTGCTCTTGAGGGGTGAATGTAGAGGAATGCTGTGCTCCCATTGCATTGTACACAAATACTTTTAAAAGGCACTTAAAGGAGAAAGGTATGAAGTAAGCTGTTGCCTGGGATAATACTGCGGGTAAATAGGACACCTGGTTTCATAACAGGGACTACTTGCTGTTGAAAGTGAGGATGTTTACAGGTGTTCCAGCCTAATGCTTGTACAAAGGAATCACGTAAGATGTATGTTTAATCCTCACACTAATTGTTTGGATGCAGAGCGTTTTAATTTTTTTCCTCTCAGGTCAGTGGCTCCCTTTAAAATAGCTCATATTTCTCCTATGGAGAAAATACATACGGGCCTGCAAAAGTGTACACGTAATTTCAGGGATTCATGGCCTCCTTGAGCTGCAGGAGCGAATATGACCTTAACTCCTGGTTTGAATTTGATACTGTAAAATGGAAAGAACAGAGGCAGCGGAGTCAGTTTGTTTATATCCTGGTGCAAGAATTTGTGCAAAATGCTCACCTCTTTGTTTCTCAGTTTCTTCATGTATGAAATGGAGGAAAATATATTTGGATAGTGTGTGCCAGTTAGCAAAGCTATTCATTCTGAATACACAGGGACCAATGCACAGTAACTTGGTAGAGACAAAACTTTGAGGTCTGATGAGGGAAAGTAACGTGTCTTATAAAAGGATGGAACAGGACAGCAGAAAAGGGAAGGACTTTGACTTGACGCATAACGAGACTATATTTCTTTTGCTTTCACTTAACTTCTCAATCCTTCACTTTAAAATGAACAAGAGGGAGTTTGTCCATGTAGGTTCTGACAAGGGTTCTTTCATCTGTAGCTACATGAAGCAGACTCTGCACTGGACTTTTGGCCTTGGTTCTGCCTTACAAGCAGTAAGGGTTCATCTGGGTGGAGGGTTGATAGTGGGTAAAGATATCTTCCCTTTCAGTTACCAAGTCTTCACTTAGTTGTTTTAGCTTTTAAGTGCCTTGGGAGTTAGTGAAAATGATGACTTAAGGTGTTTTTTCCCCCCTAAAAGAACCTGGTACAGTGGCCATCAGCCTACCTCTCCAATAACAGCTTGGGCCCATGGAAGACTTGCTCTGAAGAAAACAAGGAGCAGAAACAGTCTGGGGGAAATCGCATTCTTCCTTAGTCATGGTATTGTGTGACCAAGTGAAAAGAAGACCTGATCCCCTTTGGGGGTGGGATTTCTCCCCACTAAGAAATTTGGGTGGAGAGAAGGAGGAGACAGGTTTAAGAATGCTAACAACAGCCTGTGCATCTCAGCTCTGTGGATCTAATGTTGGTTAATGGAGCCTTAACTGTAAGAATTTGCCCTTTTAGTTTCTATGCTCCTTCCAAATTGTTCCCATAGCTTTTCATGGATTTTTTTTTCTTAGTTACACTCACTAATGTTTGCATATTTTTTTTGGCTATTATAGCTTATAAAAAAAGAAAATATAAAAAGACTGCTAAGGGATTTTTTTTCCTTCACAGAGGATTACTGTCTTCATTCCAAGACAAGCAGTTTCTAGTAATAATAGCAGGACTTGAGCTCCACAAGCTTTTGTTGCCTCTCAAACCTTGATTCTGTCCCAAGATCACATGTGTCATTTTTCTCACGCTGGCCTCTTGTTCTCCATCCCCATGGGGTGTGAGAGTTCCCACGTTGCGTGGGATCTCAGGTGTACCCGAGTGGTGGTACAGACGAATAGGAAGGATGGTGATTTTTGGAATCTCAGAGATTCAAAAGTTGCTGTTGAGCTGGGCCTCTGGGTGGATCGATGGGGTAATAAAAGTACACGTGGGTTTTTGATTACTGTATTGTTCACAGAACTTTGAGCATTTTGCTTACTCAGAAAGTCTGACAGTTTGAAGAATCAGCAGCCATCCAGCATCTCATCACAGCTGAATGCCCACTGGGCACACAGCTTTCTGTGCAGATCTGGGCGAGTATGTGTGGGAGGTGCTTCCATCCTATAAGCAGATAGCGAGTGGGGCTTAAGACATTTCCTAGTACCTTCTCTGGGGGGAGAAGCTGGGGCCACCTAGGGATTTTTCCAGTTGAGCATGGTTAAACAGGAAAACCAACCCGCCAGCTTATGGCCTGTGGAATAACATGACAGCATAAAGGAAATGGAAAAGTATTGTGAGTATTCAGATGGAAGGCTCTCTGAGTATAATTGTCTTTAAGAAACCAAAGAAAAATTTAGAAGAGATTTTCCATTTATCCTTTTTTAAAAATGGAAGAAGGCTGACCTGTAATGAAATTAGAGAAGGAAGCAGCAAGGAGAAAATAGGTTTAATGAGCATGTCAGTCAGATTTTACCCAGAGAATCAGAACCAGGAAGAGGAATAAATGTGTATTAAGATTTATCACACGGAACGGCTTGCATGAGTGTGGACATTGGCTAAGCAAGCCTGAATTTGTAGGGCAAGAATAGAAGGTCATGGGCAAGTTTATACCCACCAGCGTTATCCAGAGGTGCCGTCCTTTGCACAGGCTGTCCTCCACTGGCCGACCTCTCTCTCCCAAGGGGAAACCAAGGCCCTGCCTTGAAAGCCTCCAGCAGATTCAGGCCCACTCAGATTATCTGGGATAATTTATCTTCCTTATTAAATCAGCTGATTAGGGGCTTTAATTACATCTGCAGAAAAGCCATCACAGTGAGGGCAAAGGGGAAGGGAGTTGGCTGAAGTGATGCAAGGACATCCAGAATCCAAGACTTAATTGAATTCAAACAGGGACAAAGGACCCAGTTGACATCACAGGAAACGCAGTTAGCGATCCGAAAAACACAGCTGAGTAACTGTTAGGATAGAAGATAAATACTAAATGCTCATCAGATGAAAAAATATATAGAGATACAGGGAGGAGAGAGCAATGATTGATCCAAATTTTGGGCACTCTGGAGTTTAAACTGATTCAAAAGAACAGAAACAATGATAGAAGCTACAGTGGGTAAAATGTTTGTTATTGGAGGAAAACCTATGACAGGATGCATTTTACACCACAATATTATCCTGGTTTTTACAAACACAGACAGGGTGGAACAATGGGAAAGGTATGGTTTTTAGACTCAAGACAGATCTTCATCTGCAGAATGAGGTGAGACCTTGTCTATCATAGGGCTGTTGTGAGAACAGAAAAGCCAGTACAGCCCCTTAGCAGCCCCTCCCCATGTGTTACTTTGCCTGTAGTCTTTGACTGCAGAACGGGGTGGAGGGGTGACCTAAGAGCAGACGTGGTGCCTGCTGCTAAGGACTTCGATTTGGGGAGGATACAGGTGCCAGAATTGGGGTGTCAACTTTGAGCAGGTGTGTGGTGGTCGGAACTCTACTCTTACATGCTGAGCTGACTCAGAGCAGCTAAGGGATCAGAAAGGGTGGGGATGGAGAAAAAACTACTTTAAGGGGGCATCACCTAGTAAGGCTGGAATTAACCAGTAAAAAAATCACATAGTTCCTGGTCGGTGCCTCATTAGCTTTTTTGTATTTGACAAAGATGTCAGAGTGCTTATGAACGTCTTTAGGCACGAGTCAGATGGTGGTGTTTGATCTTTTCCGAGGGGTCTTTCTGTCCTTTCGCCTGCCTGGCCAGCTGCTGTGAGGTGTTGATTATCAAAATTTGTGCCTCTTCATGCAGTGGTTTCTTCTGGTGGTTGATTTCTTTCCAGCCCTGACCCTCTGCTGAGCCCTGTAAATCCTGAATTAGTCAGTGTGCATAGTTCCGCAGGGAAAAATAAAATGGGAATGGTAAGCCCTGGCTGTTGTAGCTCAGTGGATTGAGCGCGGGCCTGCGAACCAGACAATTGCGGTTCGATCCCAGTCAGGGCACACACTGGGGTTGCAGGCAGGTTCCCTGCAGGCCAGTTCCCAGCAGGGGACGCATGAAAGGCAACCATACATTGATGTTTCTCTCCCTCGCTCCTTCCGTTCCCCTCTAAAGATAAATAAATAAAATCTTTAAAAATTAAAAAAAATTAAAAAAAATGGGAATGGTAGTTTCCGCTTCCAAGAAAATTTACCTTGGCAATAAGGAGACTAAACCAACACATATGTGACATTAGAGAACAGTTCAGTTCAGTGTAAATCACAGATTCAAAGGTGCCTTCATTCTTATTGTGCTGTTCATATGGAGAAGCAGTGAGGACTTCAGTGCAAGGAGACTCGGTGGGCTCCCAGAGGTCCGAGACTGCTCAATAAAGAAGTTGAGGCCTGAGGGAGACCGTGGACAAAGGGAGATGTTGTCAAAGCCGACTCTCATGGCTCCAGGGCACCTTTTCCATTGCAATAGTCCCTGAGTGGTCCGCCCGTAGCTGGGAGATGCAGCCTGTGGGGCTGCACACCACAGCCCTGCAATGGCATCAGCTCCTGACATCCCAGGTGGCGGGCAGGAGGCGGCTGAGGAAGGCAGCTAGTGATGCTAGAATGTAACCTGAAGTCTAGAAGGACAGAGAAGAGAGCAGGGAAAGGGAAGTACTTGGCATTTAAAGAGCATCTACTACAGCCAGTTGTCATACTAGCATCTCACCTACCTCCACCCGTTTGTTACTGTAGCCCCGGGAGGAGGTGCTGGCATCCCACTCTGGGGACGAAGAAGGTGAAGCTCAGAGAGGTCAGATGGGTTCTGCCCAGCCCCACAGACGGTGAATGCCAGATCTGAGCCCAGATTTGTCCTCTCTCTACTGCTTTCAGAGTGACTCCTCATACCATCAAGGAATCTTCTCTTCCACTGACAGAAGCCCAAACACGTTTTTTTAGGACTTTGAATGATTTTTAGTGAACAAATGATGAAGGATGTTTTTTTTTTTTAAGATTTTATTTATTTATTTTTAGAGGAGAAGGGAAGGAGAGAGGGAAACATCTATGTATGGTTGCCTTTCGTGCATCCCCTGCTGGGAACTGGCCTGCAGGGAACCAACCTGCAACCCAGGCATGTGCCCTGACTGGGAATCGAACTGCAATTGTCTGGTTCGCAGGCCCACGCTCAATCCAAACACATGTTTTTTTTTCTGAAGTTATTAGTATGTTATCTTAGAGTTAGTCTTTCCTGTTATCCCTGGAGATACGTTTCTTTTCTTAACCAAACAAACAGAAGAGCTGGTAGAGGCAGCAGTTTCATTTGCCCTTAATAGGGGGGAATAAAAAGGCTCGTGTATCCTTAATAAGCAGAACCTGTTTTCAGTGTTCAACTGGCCAACTCCTGTCTGGGTGTTATTTTTTTGAGGTAATTACAGTCTTTATGACACACCCATCTAAGCCTTAAGCCCCAACATCTCTTCCCTTTGGATCCCCATGTTGTGAGGCTATAGCTCCTTTTTTTTTTTAAAGGAAAAGGACATATATCGAGTCACCCTTATGAATCCGCCTGTATCAGTTTGTTGGACAAATGCATTCAATCAAAATATAGACAGAAATGGCTTGATTCTCTTGCGGGACTGTCTCCCGTTGGAGATGTTGCTTCTCATACTTTTTCCTAGTTTAACTTTGTTTTTACTTGAGAGCTGTTTCTCCTCGGCCACAATAAAATTGTTCACGTTGTATGTTGTGGCCTTAACTTCAGGGTCTTAGGTACTTGAAGGCAGTGGTGTTTACCTAACTTTTTTTGTTGGTTTGCTTTTTGCTTTCACATTTGCTTCTTGCTTATTTTTGTGCTCTCCCCCATCTACAGATGGCGGCCCCCGTGAGACGTTGATGCATTTTGCCGTGCGGCTGGGACTGCTGAGGTTGGCGTGGTTCCTGTTGCAGAAGCCGGGCGGCCGAGGAGCTCTCAGCATCCACAACCAGGAAGGAGTGACACCTGTGAGCCTGGCCTTGGAGCGGGGTTATCACCAGTTGCACAAGCTTCTGACCGAGTAAGTGCTCCTTCTCCCTTTGTCCCTGCCCTCACCACCAGCCCCACCCCTGGGTCGTGATAGTTCCACCCACTTGGCATCTCAGTGTGTGTTTGCCACGAATTAGAACCTCAGCTCTCTGTCTTGCCTTCTGCTGGAAGCTTGTGAGCCTGCTCCTGCTTACCGCTTCCCTGCCTGCGAGTGACATACGTAAGTCACATCACTGTTTTCTCTCTTCCCTGACTTTCTGCCTTCATTGCTCCTTGCCTCTTACTGTTACTGGAAACCCAGGATGAGTCTTGTCTGTGGGGGTGGCATTCCATTACCAGGTATCCAGTTTATCCCAGTTCAGTACAAGGGGAAACAGTTTTCCTGGGCCATACCTTTTTTCTGGTATGTCATAGAGGCTTGAAAGAGTTTATTAGAAATGAATACCTTAAAGTAATAATTGCATGCAGAAAATACACTGAACCACTGAGGTTTGTTTGAATGTAATTTCTGTGAATGAAATCAAGAGCAATGGTTTCTTCATCTGAGTAGCAGTAACAAGCAACCGAGTTGCCCTGGAGATGTGCAGTAGGAAATCCTGTCTGTGTGTCTGTGGGTTCAGTTGTTACACAGTCTGACTCTTTAGAGACTCTTCTGAAGGAAGGCTGTTAGTCAAAACATTTGCAGAATCTTGTTTTTTCTTTTGTAAACAGAGAAATAAATGTATTAATAACAGGCAACATTTTTCATTGGAATATTTATATAGGCAGAAATCACAAGTATAGTGTTTCTTATTTAATGTATTTTTATTGTTTTATGATCATTGTCATCTTTTTGTTACATAAGCTAAACAACCTTATTTAGTATCTGTGTTCTTTAGCATTTAAGGGGCCCTTGTACAGTAAGTCATTATTCCCAAATTTTTGTGTGTTTTGCCCATTATTAGACTTAATTTAGTTGCAGTTTATATTTTATCATTTTTAGCTGTGAGTATGGAGTACTCTGCCCAGGTAAAGAAGAGATCTCAGAATGTAATGATACTTTTGTTATATCAACAGGGGTTTTATTTTGTTTTAGCTTTACCTACCAAGCTTATCATTTTTCCAGCTGAGCCAGACCGCAGGTTCTTTGCAGAAAGCCTGGGAATGGGCGCTGCAGATACAGTGACGGTGGGAGGGACGCTCTACATCTCGAATGAGCTTCTGATACTTGAGCCCTCCTATGACAGTATTCCAGGGAGCGATAGGCTCCATTCCTCCGCACTTCCCATCTGGCCGGTGATTGGATTCCCTCTGCCTTCCGCTTCGTGGCCTTAGGAACACAGGCCTTGTTCCAGAAGTTGAAATACTTAGCTCAGTATAAGTATCCCAAGGCTCGAATGCAGTTCCTCTAAATGTGATCTTAGAGCTCCGAGTTTTTGCTGGGAAGCAGAGTTGGTTAAGCCTTGCCATGCAAATGGGGAAATAAAACGATTACAACAGCTTCTTTATGTGCTTGGTGAGGATGTCACAAGACTCATTGCAGCACAGCTATAAGGAAACTAGAGTATTTGTTCTTGGAGAAGAGTTTTTGGCTTGCTTCATAGTACCACCTCTGTTACATGTGGGAAAACCACTCATCTCCTTTTGAAGGGAAATAAGTAAGGGAAAGCCAACTTCAGAAATCTCCAAGTGGAGGACAGCGTAAGCACGGGGCAGCAGATCTAGCTCTGAACTTGTATTCCTCTGGCTCTTCTTTTAGTTTATTGTTCTGTAACCTAGAGAAAGAGCTCTGGGTTATATATAATTAGCAATTTTAAAAAGATAAGGGGTGATTTTACTAAGTCCCTGAGTCTTACTGCCATTTGAGTAGACTGCTAGAATTTCAAGTATGAAGGGCGGGTTGCTTCATTAAATGAATGAATGAATACATGGAGGGTGCATAGCACAGTGACTGGCCAAAATATTACCTCTTATTGCCCTTTATTGAATGTACCTTTCCTGCTAGGCCTGTATCATTGTTTCATCCATTAAGGAAATGTTTCCAAAATCTTGAAGTATTTTCCGGCAGCATTTGGATGTCCCTACTTGACAGTTTGAAATTATTCCCAAATGTGATAAATACACTTTAAAACAATTAGTCTGGCCCTGGCTGGTGTGGCTCAGTGGACTGAGCGCCAGTCTGTGAATCAAAGGGTTGCAGGTTTGATTCCTAGTCAGGGCCCATGCCTGGGTTGGGGGCCAGGTCCCCAGTGGGGGGCGCTTGAGAGGCAGCCACACATTGATATTTTACTCCCTCTCTTTCTCCCCCCTTTTCCTTCTGAAAATAAAATCTTTTAAAAATAGGAGAGTTAGTTTGGCTGTTTGGCACCTGCTGTGATGTTGATGTGTCTGGTTGAGGGAACAGGGAATTTTAGATTGTAAAGGAATTATACAGTGCCGCCACCCTTACAGAAAGAGTACTTCTTCTAAAGATTTTAACTGTGGAGTATTGACATAAAAGTGGTAGAATATTTAATTTGCCCAAAGAATGAGTACAAAAATATTTGTCCTTGTAACTTTATCTTGTTTTTGATGTCAGTTCAACAAATCTTTATTGAAGGCCTGCAATGCATTATTGGTATGTTATAAATAATATTCCACTTCAACTTAAGACAGTCTTTCTGAAATAGACATTGTGTTTTACTGATGAAGTATGGAGGGTCAGAGAACGAAAGTACTAGGTCCGTCTTTGCAGCAATGTGGCAGAGCTGCCGTTGCAAGCACACCTGTGGGTTCCAAGGTGCAGGTTTTTCCCTCTGCAAAAATCTGACAGTTGGAGGAGGACTCAGGAAGAGGCCACCGGGATATAGATGACTAGCACTTACTTAGGAGAGGGCTCTCAGCTTTCCATTTAGTTCCAGGCTCCTCTTTCCTGAGGAAAACGGGATTGTCGGTGCCCTAACTTGATGTTTACATTACCCACAATAATAGGTTTAAAAGTATTGCTGGTGACATTGTGCTGTCTTTCTGCATTCAGCCTCATGACAGCCTAATGAGAGAGTAGGGCAGATGTTATTATCCCTGTTTTGCAATTGAGGAAACAGACCAGAGAGGTGAAGTGAGTTGCCAATGTCATAAGGCTACATACAGAGTAATGGACCCAGGCTCAGGCTCCACGTCCAGCGATCTGTCTAGGTTGAGATGACACATGTGCACATGCAGGGCACAGACCCAGGCTGGCAAACACAGCTGTCAGGCGTGGCTTATTATAGTGGGTGAGGTCGGCCCCTTCCAAACAGTTTGTGTCCCTGGGTTCTCAAGTCCTTCTTTTGATATATTTGCACTTGAAACCTGGGTCCAGGGTCAGAGGGTAGAGTCGCCACTCAAGTGTACATATTTCACAATGGAACTGAGCACAGTTGAGCAAGATGTTCGGTTAACATAATGATTGCCTTTTTCGGGTCCTCTTCAAGGACTTGACAAGTGGGTCCACAGTAACCCATCTGGTGCAAAGTAAGTGTGGAGCCTTTGCTTTTGCTTAGGAGTGGGAGGAATGAAGTAAATGCACAAACTTAACTTCAGAGTAATAGCCAGGATTTTTTGTTACTTCATCTGGCTTAAGCCCCATCCATTTGCCCATTTGTCTGTCTGTCCATCCATCCATGTTCCTGCCCTCCTTTCTCACTACGTGATCAGGCCTTTGTGTTTTGGTACAGATACGGTGGTAGAACTGAGTGGAAACTAGAAAGAGGAGGAGGGACGGTAACACTAAATATTGAATGTGCTGCGTTGATGCTTTACATGTGTTCTCATGTAAAATTTCTCAGCAAACATCTCAGGTGTGGTCAGATTAGTATGGTCAGTACTGTGTTTTTCTACAGATGAGAAAATAGAGAGGCCAAATATCTTGCCCAAGGCTCTGTCGTCAACACTTGCCATTATTTGGAAGCCTGTTTTTAAACTATTGATAGAATTTTATGAGGAGTCATGTTTGGTGACATTGTCAGTCTTTTAACCAACTAATTTGATTATGCTGATTCATAATAGATCTGGTTTTCAGTGACTTTTTCTTGGGGGGGGGTGGGTAAAATTTCCACCGAAGCATTTTAAGAATTTTGGAGTTTCATAGGGTTTTTTTTGTGTTTGTTTGTTTTCTTTTACCATTCAGATAGTAATATCTGATTTCCCTATCTGGCAACTTGCTGGAAAATTGCAAAATGCACTCAGAAGAAAATATTTGTATTTATATAACTGTAACACCACGTGCCATTTATTGTGTTTGTACTAGGCATTTTACATAAATTCTTGTATATTTTATCCTCTCCCCAACATTTTCAGGTGGGCATTTTATCTTGACTTCACCAGGTGACCCCCATAGCTGGTAAGTAATGGAGCAGTAATTAGAACGAGGTTGTAACTTCCATGCCCATGAATTTTTACACTGGTGGGACCTTTTTTTTTTTTGTATTTTAAATTTAGGTTTGTTTTATTTTTTTTTGCTGGATGAATCCCTTCACTTTTTTTGTTTTTTTTTTGTTTGTTTGGGATTTAAACAAGACTTCTTCTGGAATTTGCTCTATCCCTTGTATGTTTTTTCTTCTGTCCGCTTCTTTTCCCTCCTTGCTCTGTGCAGGCAAATGGCCCCAGCCTGTGAACATTTAGGTCTTAGAGTTTCTTTCAGCGTTGTGAAGTTACACGTCTTAGCCTGTGATAACAAATACTCTATGGTAACATATGTGGTTTTGAATATGGTAACACTGGTGCTTGCTGGTTAGGTCAGTTGGTTAGAACGCTACCCTGATACACCAAGGTTATGGGTTTGATCTCAGGGGACGTACAGGAATCAACCAATGAATGCATCAATAAGCAGAACAACAAATAGATGTTTCTCTCCCCCTCCCTCCCCTCTTCTCTCCTTCTAAAATCAACAAGTAAGTTAACTTTTAGAAAAATAAGGAAAATATTTCTGACTTCACTATAGATCTTAGTGGAAGAAAATATGAACCTGGAGTATAGGACTTTATATTTGCATGTAAGCAAATGAAGTTGGCACCTTCCTCCCTCTAAAAAACA